GTTAAAGTCACCACGTATAATTTTGGCTATGTGAAGTAGTGATACCATACCAGCGAACACGCTTGTCAGCTTCTCGTTGTATTCGACTGGGGAGCAGAGGAGTAGGTAAATGGATCCTATTAGGAGATCGTGGAGTAAGTTGGACGACAACCTATACTGAGTCGTCAATCTAGTTTAGCTCAGAGGTTAAGCACTGCGTAGCGGTGATGTCAGACTTTATATAGATAATTCACTCTCCTACTTTACGATGTACCTGTCCCTCCCGAAAAAAGAACAGTTGTCGATGGAGATCTCAGTTACAAATATCAGAGGTACACCATGCTTCCGTAATCATTATCACGGACGGATCCCGAATCAGAGATAGCAGTATAATCTCTTTCATTTTGTTGCGTACAGAGCGGGCGTTAATCAGGCAAAACGAGAGTGAGTCAAGATTACAAAAGTGTTTGGATATATCTCGAAAAATGTCAGCACTTCTGTACATTCCTTGTGGGTCCTTTGCGTACATCGTTCTAGCGTTGTCATGACCTCTAGTCCAGGGCAACGATTTGGTACTGTTTACCTCGAAAGGAGTGAGGTATTCACCACATTGTGGTTGGTATAGAGACTGTTGGTCAAGGTAGAGAGCAGATGATCCGACAGCATCCGAATCACTTGCGTTACTAGTGGAGTTGCAGCCGTAGGCTGTCCGAAAAGACCCTATTCATAGGAAGTAACGGGGACTGATAGATTGTATGGCATGCCTATCTGCTAGCTGTTGTACACATTATGGTCATAGCCAACGTCATATTCACTAAGTTTTTCCTTGGGGGGCCCATTGTAAGTTTGTATTTCAGTAGCATATGACCCACGTTTTGGGGCATATGGGTGAGGCGGAGTGGATAGTCTGTGACTACCATCCCGCTCACTATTCAATAACTGTGACCGTTGAGGGTTCTGGCCGTGGTGCGTCTTTGTTAGTGACCGCGGAAGTGTTAAGAAATATGGATCGCCTGGACAGTAGTTGTTTGGTTTGGTCACAGGATGAACTGAGAAATAACGTTCGGCATTTTTCTTAGTGTGGCTCTGGAGGGTACCTTGGTATTTTGGTTATTCGTATTGCTTTTTCGTCGATTGACTTGACTACTTAATTGAATTTTCGGCAATTTGGTTAACCTGGATGGTTTGAATAAGTGTCTAAAGCTATCTGTACTCTTTGTCATCTGCCCATTTGATGCATATAAGTTATGCACTGGCTGATGTGCGCTAGGCTTCGGGACGGTCCTATGGTGACAGGGTGCTTGTGGCTGGTGCTCGGTATGTTTTTAGGCTGAGTAACCTCTGGTGACGACATAGTAACGTCTTCAGTATTTTGCTGGATCGATAGCGTAGCACTTAGTTTGGTGGTGATTTGTGTGACGGGGTGAGACGGGGACTGGGTTTCCACTTCTGTAAACAGTCAGATCGCTTTTGAAGGATGGTGTGCATGTTTTCGAGTGCAGTTAGTCGATTTGCCCAAGCCTGCCGTTGTGTCATCGGGTCTACTACGTCTTTTTGAGTCAGTTATTTTTGGGGCTTTGGTGTGCCTCATTACGTCGTTTTGATAAGGTAACCAGCTCACTAACAGATTGTGTTGCTGTTGTGGATACCGCAGCCTGACTAGAGTTTGCAACCCTCGGTATTGTAATGCGACTACGTCCTTGACAAGTTGTTAAGTCTTGTGAAAATTTTACACTTTCAGGTTAACATTGTCGGCCTAAAACTGACAGTCTCGCAGGAACCCCATCCACCTCCCCAACCGAAAGCGAAATCGAAAGTGAGATCAAACTTCTTCACACATAGAGTATGTACTTTATGGAACACTGCCGAAAAAAGTAGCCACAGCCACATCAGTTAACTTCTTCAAACAACTACTAGGAAAGTGCGTGAGTGCGAACGGCTTACCACGAACATTCGTTGGTAGCAACTGCAGACACGCTCATGCCAAACCCTAGTATCCTCAACAAGACCCACCCCTTCTTCATATTATTACTAGTAACACTTATTTTTCCATAACAACTTTTCTTTGTTCCACACTCGCCCTATTTGTAGCACTTTTTAGGTAATGCTTAGTACTTTCTTTCAGGTGCCTACAAGAAAAAGAATCATCAGAAGCTAATTGGCCTTATCAGCAGCTCCTCTGCCTCCAAACAAACCAAGCTACAATTAGCAAAAAATATCTTCAAATGGACAACTGCTACCTCCAAAACTGTAAGCAGGTAAACTTAAGACTTCTGCGACCACCAAAGGAGTATAACTGAACAAAAAGAACCGAGCCTCAAGACTTGGAGGCGAGAGCTCAAAAACTATAAGTTTCCTCTGCGGCACTATTGTTGTTGGATGTTGTAAACTGAACTGCATCTGACTCATGTGCCACCAACTTACTAACCGCGTGGAACGACTGCACACTAAGCTGGGACGACAGAGAACCGGTACATGTTGTTTTTCTCGACCTAGCCAAAGCATTTGACAGTGTCCCACCCACAGTTCTGCTTCACAAGATCATGTCAGCTGGTATAAGTGAACCCCTACTCTCTTGGTTCAAGTACCTGGAAGGGAGGCATTTCTGCACCAAAGTAAACAGAATAAGGTCGGAGTGGAGATCATCGACGTCAAGACTATCCCACTTCTGTTCCTCCTGTTTGTCATTGATCTGCCAGACAAAATATCCTCACCCATCCTCCTATTTGCTAACGACATTAAAATTTGGAGGGTGGTAAACGTAGAAGCTGACTGTACAGCACTACAAAAGGACTTGCAGCAACTCAAACTCTGGTCGTCGGAAAATGGCTCTAGCTTCAACCTGGAAAAGTGCAAAGTAATGGACATCAGTGAATATGAAGTAAGTACAACCGACTTCCAGCACATGTTTAGCAGCCGTGCTATCACCAGTGTCCACGGAGAAAGATTTGGGGTTCAACTTCTCCGACACCTTGAAAACCAGCTCCAACTACAAAGGTATGATAACCAGAGCGAACGCCATCCTGCACTTTCTGCGTAGACAGCTTGGCGCTCTCACCCCCAAACTCTTCCTCACCGTTTTCAAATCCTACGTGCAGCTGCATCTAGAGGTCTTCAATACGGTGGCCCCCTTGACACTCAAGAGAGACTCTAATCTCCTTGAAAAAATACAAAGAACCGCAACAAAATCAGTCGTGGGGCTAAGGGGGGAAGATATCCTGAAAGACCTAAGCACCTAAACCTATTTACCTTGGGTTATCGTAGGAAGAGGGGTGGCCTTATTATGGCTACAAGATCCCCCATGAGGCAAACCCGTAGCTCAGCAATCACTCTACAAATTACAACTTAATAACCCACAAAGCATCCACATCACCGAAGCTAAAAGCAAAAAAGCAGAGGGGATTTCCTCGTCCACTGCAGGAGTAAACCGAACAACTCGAACCAAGCCCTAAGAACTAGACACGAGAGATCGAAAACTATCGGTTTTCTACGATCGCACTATCAATATTGGACACTGGATATTAGTTTTCAAATGTGTTCGGTACTGAAAGTCTTATTTAAGCTTTGATGGGTAACAATTCGTGAGTGACAGGGAACAGCGTTCGAATCTTTAAGGTGGTACATCTAATTTTAATATCAGAACTACCGAACCCTGCCATTCTCATGCCACTCGTCTTGTGACATAGTTATTTATCGTATTTTGATTGAAATATGTCCTATAGCTATAGGACATATTTCAGCCTATAGGCTAATAGAAACGTCAGTAGAATCAGAAAATGGTGACTTTGTTGATGTGATCATTAATCGAAGACTTCTATTCTTTCTTGTGGACTGTGACGACAACGGGTTAGGGACAATGAAAGGGGGCTGATACTAGTGACCATACAAATTTCACTTATGTTATCATCTCGCCTGGTTAACTAGTTCACTAGTTAGTAGTCGATCCTAAGCCCGGGGAAAAAGGGAAGGTTGGGCATAAGGCTGGCAACCCTACCCCGTAGAACCAATCCAATCGCTACAGAAACTTCAAAGCACAGACAAAATATAAAACATAAGAATAAACTTATTCCTCGCTGGAATCGGAGAGGTAAAATGACGCCGGTTGGTGAAAGCCTTCGGGAAGCCAATTGGCCGATGTGTCTTTTCCCCCTCGATGAAAGTGAAAGTAAACATAGGGACGCGGAATGTCCACACTATGTTTGAACCTACCAAGGCTACTCAGATTGCCAAAGAGATGAGAAGGTATAGCATAGAGGTGATAGGAATTTGCGAAAGCAGGTGGAATGGAAGTGAACTCTCTAAACTGTCAACTGGAGAATCAATAATCTACTCCAATATTGTCACCCAAAGGACAACCATGAGCACACTGAGTTTCGGATTGGCTATCATGATGTCCCCTTGAAGAGCATCGAAGGCTCTCATACAGTGGTAACCAATCTGCTCATGCAGGATCATGACAGCAAGGAAAGTCACAATCGTACAATGCTACACTATGCACCTACAAAGAATGCAGATGAAGAGAAGAAGGAGGAATTCTACAGACAATTGCAAACAGTACTAGACAAGACTCGAGTTGGCGACATCAAATTTCTAATGGGTGGGGTGACATGAATGCCAAACTGAGAGCGGACAACACAGGAAGAGAACTCATCATGGGTCGAGAGGCACTCGGTGAAATGAGCGAGAATGTAGAACTGTATACAGACCTCTGAGCATTTAATGATTTAGTGATTAGAGGCAGTGTGTACAAATACAAGGATGTTCACAAGGCAGACACATGGATTTGATTTCACCAAACACCAGGACACACTTCAATAATAATCAGATCGACTTCATTTCAAGGTGAAGAAAGTGGAGACGCAGCCAGCCTACTGGACAAAAGATTAGATGAAGAAAGGGAGCAGAAGTAGGTTCACATCGCTCACTATCTAGTACAAGGAACCTAGCTTCAAAATCAGGTTGAAAGCCTTCACCGAAGTTGGTGATAGACTACAGTTCAAGTTGAGCACCGAGAACAGAGACTGAACTGAAGGACGAAACTACAAGGAACATCTTCACGTCAGCCATCAAGGAAAATGTGCGACACTAAGCAACATCCGTAAAGGAACCCGTGTGGAAGAACACTGGGACACTTTGAAAGAGATGTGGAAAGAAACCTGCATAACTGTATTAAGAAGGAAGGAGAGAAAAGGTAAGGAATGGATCTCGACAGACACATGGAAGCTGATAGAGGAGAAGAGAAGGGTGAAGCAGAAGATAAACCAGTGCAAGAATGAACAACGAGAAGAGGAACTGAGTACAACGTATAAAACGCTGGACAAAGAAGTGAAGAAGAGTGCACAGAAAGACAAAAGACACTTCTACGACACACTGGCAAGTGAAGCAGAACAGGCTGCAGGTAGGAGAGACAGAGACCTAACAACATTACATCAAATAACCAGGTTACTATCTGGTAGGGAAGAGATCAACATAGATGAAACCAGTAAAAGATGATGAAGGGAATCTAATTACCAAAAAAGAGAAACAAAGGAAACGATGGGCTAACTACTTCGGAAAGCTCTTGAATCGACCACCACCACCACCGTCATCTGCAACGTGTCCAGAAACACCACCAGTCAACTGGCCGCAGAACTATCAATAAACACAAGCCCTCCGACGAAAGCAGAACTGAAGTCGTGAGCACCATCAAGTTGCTGAAATGCGGGAAAGCAGCAGGACCAGATGGGATCCCGCCAGAAGCACTGAGAACAGACGCAGAGACAACACTGGACATGCTCGCACCACTATTGCAGAAGGTCTGGAAGGAAGGAAAGGTACCTGCCTATTGATTGGAAGAAGGGCTACCTTGTTAAACTCCCAAAGAAGGGCGACCTAAGTCTTTGCAAGAACTGGCACGGAATCATGCTCCAACGCTGTCCACACCAAGTAAAATATTAAGCCGCATCATCCTGGAGAGACTAAAGGATGCGCTGGATTCAAAACTACGACCGGAACAGGCTGGCTTGCTGGATTCAGGAAGTACAAGTAATGTGCAGTCCAAATTGCCACACTACGCTACGCATCATCATAGAACAGAGCGTAGAATGCCAGTCAACCCTCTACGTCAACTTCATTGATTTTGAAAAGGCCTTCGACAGCGTCAACCATGAAGTAATTTGGCAGCTATTTCAACACTACGGAATACCACAAACCTTTATCAACCTCACTCAACAACTATATGAAGATGCTACATGCCAAGTAATTCACAATGGGAAGCTCAGTGATGCCTTTGAAGTGAAGACAGGAATAAGACAAGGCTATCTACTATCACCCATGATGTTCCTGATTGTGGTCAACTGGATCATGCAGCAAACAGTGAGCTAGAAGATGGGCATACGCTGTTTGGTCGACTAAAAGACCCCAGAAGAAGATTTGGATTTCACCGATGACTTGTGTCTAATGTCGCACAAACTCAAGGATCTACAGGCGAAAACCAACAAGTTGACAGAAGAGGCAGGGCAGCGAAGGGAGATGGGACTTCAAGTGAGTGTAGAGAAGACAGAGGTGATGAGGATACCCAACCAACAACAACATCAAGCTCCAATCACCATCAAAGGGAGAAACTTAAAGGAAGTAGCCTCCTCCACCTATCTAGGCAGCACTGTTTCAACTACAAGTGGCAGCACAGGTACAGACGAGGATGTCAAAGCCAACCAGGATCGGAAAGACATCAAGACAGGCCTTCCTTCATGAGTCTGAATTCAGTGTGGAGATCTACTGCACTCTACCCAGCAAAAAGAACAACATCCGGATTTTAAACACTAATGCCAGTCAAGTCAGTGCTTCTATATGTTGAGACTTGGCGCGTTTCGAAAAGTATTTCAAACAAACTACAGATATTCATCAACAACTGCCGCCTACGCTCACTCCATAGTGAAGATCAGATGGCTAGAAAGAATAAGCAACAAGGAACTCTGGCTGGCTGGTAACGAACCAACCAAGAACCTATCGCTCAACACATATGCAGAAGAAGGGAGTGAAGATGGATTGGGCATGCACTGAGAAGGCTGATTGGGGACATCACGCGCCAGGAACTTGGGTGGAACCCAGATGTGAAAACGGTGAGTTTGGCGTCCGAGGTGAAGGTGACATGGAGGAGGTCGTATGAAGAAGAATACTGCAGAAAAGAGAGTGCAGTGGAGGCGTGCTACTGAAGCCCTATGTTCCACTAGGAACACAAGGGACAAATAATAATATTTAGTATCACCTTTTTGTTGTCCCTGATTAACTAACAATGAGAAGAAATGAGCTGGTTCTCAAACTACCTTGCTCATCGTCATAGTCTGACTCTGAGGATGAATTACTCACATATCAAGGATAGTTTCGTTAACACCTACTTTTTGCTTCCCAGTTTTCCTATAAATCTCCGTAGCTATTTGCAACAGCAGAATAGTATCAGCTGATTATGTAAAACCATAGTTTCTATAACAATTCACAACATGAAATTACTCAGCCTTGCGCGTTTGGATCCTCAATATCGAAGAATCTATTTCCAGAGATTATGTTCAGATGTGTCATTGAACAGATTACTCGGAAAGCTCCACACTTATATCTTCTTTCCTTCTAAATATCATATAGTTAAGGCTACTTTAGTTTGAGTGAAACATTTCTCTGTAGTGAAGTAGTATGACTTAATATATATTCCGAAAATTGCGGGATGTTAATATTTATATCCTAAAGGATTACTTTTTATATTCCTGTCAGCATATAACAAGACAGTCATTTTTATGCTAATATTTTATATCTAAATTCACAAGCTTAGTTTCTTTTCCTTAACTATCGTTTTTATTGTAACCAATTGTCCCCGATTTGTACCAAGCTTGTGTTTTGTATTGATATTCGTTTATTTATATTTTATATTTATTGTTACACTTTTTACCAACCAGTTATCTTACCATAAGTATATTACTGAGATTCAGTTAAATACTAGGATGGGATACACGTATAACAAATTATGCCACAAAGTAGCCAAACCGTATTTATGGCGTCATAGTATTGTACAAATGGATTATGTGAAGATGTGACATTGGTTTGATATTCGAATTTCAAACAAGAAGTCCCAGGTTCAATTCCAAGTCCAGATAGACGAAAGCAGTGTAGAACCTCGCACACAAGTGCGCTGGTTCAAGTTGTCACACTTCATAGTGACATCAAGAGAACAAGTGGATGGGAAAGATTGATTTCAAAGTCGAAAAAGGTGTGTGGGAGGAGAAGGAATTTAAAAACTAAGGTTATTCGAAGCATTCAAGCCTAAGAAGATATCAAAAAGTGGATACATCCACGCCATTGTGAGCGGTTTTCAGCCATGAAACTAAGAATCCTCAACCATTGATTTTTGTCGTCTCCGGGAGCCCAGTCAGGTAGTCTACATCCCCCCTTCTTGGCTCATATCAAAAGTTAGGAACTTCACGCAGTGATGCCGCTTCTTATTCTGGCTATGTGAAGCCACGACGTGCAATGCTAGGGGAAGTTGGATTAGGTTGGAAGGTTTAGGGTAACCAAACTAAGATGTGACGTCAGTCCATGCAGTTGGTGTGATCCGTGAAGGGAGGTGTAGACCACCTGGTTGGGGTCTCGGAGACGACAGAAACCAATGATTGAGGGTTCTTGGTTACATGATTGGAAATCGCTCACAATGGCGTAGATGTATTCACTCTTTGATGTCTTCGTAAGACTGGATATTGTGAACAACATTAATTTTTAAGTTCCTCCTCTCATACACCTTTTTCGACTTTGATATCAGTCTTTCCTATCCATTTGTTCTTTTCATGTTACTATGAAGTGTGACAAATTAAACCAATGCACTTATGTGCACTGATTTTGTCTTAGTCTGGCCACCCTGAGCCTTATTTCAACCTAATCCAACTTCGCCTAGCTTTGCTCGTTGAGGTAGACAGTGGCTGGACATGCGCAGCACATGTTCAAGCCATCTAAGTAGCTGTTGGTTCAGATCCCACTCCACGTAATTCGGCCTGGATAACCAGGTCGTCACAAGTGCGACTCGTAGTCTGGTATATAATCTTGTACCACGTTATGTGTTCATATTTTTTATATTAAAAATGAGTCCCTGCTGTTGTGATGAGTAACAGCAACCGAGATGTTTATTTCTACTTGATTGAGAATTGTCATCTCAGAGTTAAATAATGGAATAACTAGCTGACAAAAGCCTTATCAGAATGCGAAAACACTTACTTTAATGCAAGATACATGATGAAACAAATATGGTGGGACTTACTTCATAAATCAAAAGAAGCTGACCATCTAATTTTAACTTAGATTGTACTGATCCGTAAACACTCTCTTAAAGCCACAGAGTATTAATCCAGATTATAGCCCATCTTTTGTGTAATAAATAGCTATTGAGTATTGCCGTATTCAGACAAGTATTAATACCTTTCTGATACTATGTATCATTTTAATACTTCATACTCATACTACTTGCAAAATAACTTTTCATATATTTCTCTCTTTTAGACTTAAATTCCACATATCTATGAGAATGTAATGATTGGGAGCCGTAGGAAATACATATATCTTTCAAATGCATACACCAATAATCCCCTATCAATGTGTATGCATAAGCTGAACAAATTTTGTTCAGCGATTCCAGCTGCAATCGTTTTTCTAATTATCATATGGTCATATTATGTGATCATGTTTGTGATATTTCAAGGTAACTTCTAATCCTTTTAGTTTGTAATAATAATGAAAAACTAATCAGATTTATTGGTTGGTGCTTACCTGAAGAGTAAGTTGTATATACGGTTATAAATTACAGTTACTGCTCTCTTTCTTTCTCCTCTTTCAGTTCTATTCATTCCATATCACGCTATATTAATCTTATTTCTTTTGTCTTTCTGGAAATCAACTCACGCTGAAGTAACTACAATACCAAAAAAAGTATGTTGATACAATTACTTTACACTTTTTTTTCTTTTCTTTCAGTTCTGTCTTACAGCTAATGAAACAAAATATTTTATAGAATTAGAAAATGAAAATGATCGTTCAGCATATTTAAATCATTTAATTAATATAAAACAATTACCTGTAATTACTGTTGGCAAGACGTACAATCCACAGTTTTGTGATATATGCTTTCTATTGAAACCAGATCGTACACATCATTGTTCAAGTTGTATGAGGTGAAGTATATAATTCTATGTTGTTTAACTACTCATCATCTTCCAGTTATTCATCTGTTTTATAATCTATAATATTTGAAAGTTAGATGTATGTATATATGCATATTATTTCATCCAGTTAACTTGATATCACGGATGACATGGTCCTGTTAGGTGAAGAGGCTGACAAGATGCAGAGTCTTCTGGACACTTTGAGTAGCAATTTGAGAATATTTGGGATGCGTTTGTCACCACCCAAATCCAAATTGTTGCTCTAGAAGTGGTCTTCAACGGTGCCACGGCTAACAATAGAGAGTGCAGTGGTTGAGTGTGTTGACCACGTCACTTACCTGGGAAGTAGGACCAACCTTGGCTGGCTCAGTGGCCGATGAAATCTCTGCACGAATACAAAAGGCTTGGCTGGCTTTCGCCAACCTGCACCACCTATGGTGCCGCCGTGATATCCGATTGTCTACTAAGGGTCGCGTGTATTGCACAGCAGTCCGCTCTGTTCTATTGTATGACTGTGAAATACGACCATTGAAGGTGGAAGACATGGAAAGGCTGGCTGCAGGTGTTTGACCACCGTCGCCTTCTTAGTATTGGCCATATTTCGTGGTGTCACCACGTGAGTAACGCAGAAGTCAGGTGTAGAGTTTTAGGGAGAAGAGGTAAGTCAGTTGATGAGGTTGTGAACCTTCATCGATTGAGATGGTTGGGACACACACGTGTTATGTATGCCTAGTCGCCGATTGTCTCGTCACACAATGTTGGCCGAAGTAGATTCAGATTGGAAAGAGGCCCGAAGTGGCCAGACTAAAACATGGCATAAATGTATGAAGTGTTTGACTGTTGGTTTGAGTCATGTGGGGCGATGCAGACTGGGTGGTTGGGGTCTTGGGGGGATAAGAGGAGCCAGTGGTTGGAGACTCTAGATGATATGGCTGAGAACTGATGTCAGTGGCGCAGATGTATACACACATTATCCTCATCCTAACTCTTTACCGAATCCCATCATTTTTTTATCCTTCGTTTCTCTCTTTTCGTACTTCATATTTCTTTCGACAGAATTTTCTTTTCTTCATCTTCCACTTCACTGCCTTCTTATTTGATGTACTGATGTGAGCTGTGGCAAGTCGGACAGTTAGGCAGTAGTGTCTGGTTCTATGTTGGTGGATGATGATGATGATGATGATGATGATATCACGGATACACATTTGGCAGTGTTTTAGTCTTAATCCTAACTACTGAATAAGTTCATGTACTAGGCGATGAGCCGATCACGTCTTCTAATTTTGCGACATCACCTGATTGCATAAACTTCATTAGAAAGAGTGGGGTTTCAACCTAAGACACAGCTTATTGGCATTTGACTTTCAACAAGTCGATTACGAGTTCCGCCTTGCTTACTGAGGTGTGACTAAATAGATATCCTCAGCCCCCTACACACCTATTTACAAAAGAAGCAGTCTACATGAATGTCAGTTGTTTGAAGGAGTGACTTCAAAGGCTACCTCAGCAAAAGTTGAAACAACCAATTACGTTTCCTTTTTTAAAATGAAAATCTATCTTCCCAGACAAAACACCGAAGCCTGATTGGTTATTTGAGCAGTTGCTAAGGTGGCCCTTCAAGTCATTCAAAATAACCAGTCGGTTTTTGGTATCCAGGCTGGAAACGAAGTTTTTCATAAAATAAAAAAGCATAATTGGTAACTTGATAGTATCTTAAGTCCTTACACATATATGCTACTCACGACCTGATTCACAAACTTTCACTTGTTTATTGACTAAACGCAACCTTGCCACTGATGGCTGCCTCCTTGATGTTCTGGTAGTCGGACCTAGATATCACAGTGACCCAACGACCTGTACTGATGCAATTCTTTTCCCCTTGAGGTCCTAAGATGTCAGAAATGTCAGTTAGATAATGATAAGAAAAAAAGCAGTTATCGCTATTTGATGAGGATCCGAGAGTGAAGTCGTGCAGCTGGCTCGACAGGAATGTGAAAGTAGTATGTTTCCCATGGATTACCACTAGTACCATGCTGATGGTGCTGTCTCTATAGGAAGTGGTGATTGGAAAAAGTCGGTAAGGAAAAATAGCACACTCCTCCCTACTTTGCAGTCTTGCGGTGCTGATGGCATGGCTTTATATCTGGATGCGAGCATCTGGGAAGTGTTAAACCGTCCCCACAAGTTTCCAAGACCTTAATTCCCCCCATCTTTCTTCACTGCAGGCATCATTTTTGTCATTTCTTCGTATTTCTTTTTATCAATCTTCCCTTCTCTGTGTTAGTTTAAAGTGTAGCGATATACATTGACACAATTATACCTGATATATAGTTGTTTCTGTGCTCAAGAGAGTCAAACTCTAGTTATCAAAACGTCTTTCACTATTTTACCAAGCTACAGTAGACATTATATATATATATATATATATATATATATATATATATATATATATATATATATATATATATATCGTCTCCTTTTGTTTGCTTCACAGATGTGTTCCGAAAATGGATCATCATTGTCCTTGGATAAATAATTGTGTTGGTTACCATAATTACAAATATTTCAGTTTATTTGTCTTCTACGGTTTCATATATTGTATACTATGTCTCTCAACTGCCTTGCCTTATTTCCTAAAGTATGTAAAGGTGAGTTACATTATTACCGAGTTTGTTGTTACTTATCAATATTAACACCATCTAGGTTCATCATGCCAATGATAGTGATAAACACACTTGGAGTTTATTCAGTGCATTTATGGTGTCACTTTTATCAGCTGTATTTGCGCTGGCTTTGTCAATTCTTCTACTTTTTCATATGTATCTGCTTTTCAAAAACAAGTCTACGTTAGGTAAGAATGTTTATTGCAAAAAGAAAGAAAAAGAAATAGGACAGAGTATGCATAAATAAAATTCTTTGCTTCATTTTAGAACACTTTCGCCGACCAAATTTTCGTGATAAACATAGTTATACGCGTGGTTTTGATCTTGGATGGAAGGAGAATTTCCTTGAAGTTTTTGGTGATAAAATTATGCGTTGGCCATTTCCTGTATTTTCAAGGTGAGTTAGATTTATTGTACTGGCAGAGGGATTTGTTTTGTGAGCAATATCGGTAGATTTCGATAATATATGATTATTGCTTTTTTCCGATCAGTTTGTTGAATGCTATTCTGTGTCTGAACAGAATCCTCTTAAAGTATAAAGTCATTTTAAAACTCATGTGGTGTTTAACCCTATCACAGAGTCTAGTGTTTTGACGTTGTCGACCGTTAGCTGTTGTGGCAGTGTTTGACTGCTAAGGGAGTACCGAGCAAGTATGTAACGCTAATCAAAGCTGTCTACTCGAACTCACGCAGCCGTGTCAGGGCTCGTGGGGAGTTTTCATTAGAATTCACGACAACTAGTGGTATTCGCCAAGGATATCCATTGTCACAGTTCGTATTCGACTTCGTCATCAATATACTAATGGGCATAACCTTAGGTACATCTGACCTCACAGCGGAAATCTGAGTATGTTTGGCATGCGTTTCGCACCTGTGAAATGCAAGATGATGCTTCAGAACTGCCTGGTCTGCAATTACTTCTTACCTTATGTTAGTTATTGAAGTGGATTCAGAAGGCCCGTTTGGCATTTGCCAACTTGCATGACTTGTGGTGCCGACAGGCGATATATCCAACTATCCATCAAAGGACGAGTATACTACGCTGCAGTCCGTTCTATCCTGTTATGCGGCTCTGAGATATAGCCGTTAAAAGTAGAATATATGAATCGACTACATGGTTTTAATCACAGGTGTCTTTTCGTAGCATTGCTCGAATTTTGTAGAATCACCATGTGAGCAATGTCAAAGTCGGGCAAAGGATACTAGGCACAAAAGGCAAGTCGATTGACGAAGTTGTGAACGTTAATCAAATGAAATGGCTTAGACATGTCCTGCATATGCCGGGCCACCCTCTACCTCTATGTACCATGGTAGTGGGAGAAGCTGGATTAGACTGGAAGAGGGTTCAAGGTGAGCATCAGTCAGTGAAGTCTCTTACTGTTGGTCTGAGTCGTGCTGGGAGATGTAGACTACCTAGCTGGGGTCTTCGAGATGGTAGAAACCAAAGATTGGAGACCCTTTGTGACATGACTGGAAACCAGTCACAATGACGCAGACGTATTCACTCTTTGACATCTACATCTTGAATATTCACACTAACCTCTATCTTCAAATTGTTTATTCTCACACTAGTTTATCTACTTTCATATCACTCCTTTTCTGTTTACCTGTTTTTTGTGTACTATTGTGAAGTGTGGCAACTTGAGCTGATTCACCTGTGTGCAAAGTTCTACGTTGATTTCGTTAGTCATCAGTGGTATTCACTTTCAACATCAGTTAATTTGAGAGGGTTTTTGATTTTGCTAATTTTCATTCTGTTCCTACAGCTATCCAAAAGTGAGTAGTGTTAAACATGCCTTTAAGCGGAATTGATTCGAATTGAAAACTGATAATGTTAATGTCGAACGAGTAGAATAGCTACTCTATTGTTTTGATGACATTGATTTACCCAGTGAAGTTCCTCTGCTGGTGTCAGTAATCTCTACTACTTTTACTGATGTTAATCATGAGCATTTTAGACACTACACACCGTTGTCACACGCCATCGAAATCATGGCTTGGATGAAAGAGTATCTCACCAGTGGATAGTTTGGACTATTTCTCGCTGCTAACTAGTTGAGCTGCATGAACTGCATTCAATCGATATTATTTTGTGCATATGGTGTTTGTCTGCCTCAACATACCATATCAACTAGAGAATAGAGGAGATTAAAGACTCTTCCGAGCTGACAAAAAGAGATATGAAGCCAGCGTGTAAACTTCTTGACTGTTGCTTTGTCAGTATAGATAAAAGTGAAATTCTTGTCCGGTATTTTCGAAATAGCCTCAGTTAATGTTGTTTATTGATACTTGTGTATTCCCCTTTGCTATACTAGGTCGAGTTTCTCGACCTCTGTTGGAAGATGAGCTCCTATGCAGATGCCTTGATACTGCTTGGATATTCATTGTATTGTTGTTATGATCTTCAGTATATGTAACGATATAATGCTTCGACGCGATACGATTAACGATAGAACAATGACTTCTCAACTCAATATTCAGCTGACCCAGAAGAAAACGATTGGATTGACAGTATATTTACTTCAAAAGAATGAATGAATTCCTTTAGCTGAAAACTTAGTTGTTTATATGCTCTTAGATTGGCCTTAGCCAGGGAAAACAAAATAGCATATTAGAAGTGTGAAATGAACCAATCAGCCTTTAGTATATTAAAGCGCGGTAACAATAAGTAACATTGAATAGAGCGAAAAGAGCGCGAAAATAAGGCGTACATTTTATAGTGGTAATATATACGTATTATAAGTTAGTTTTTCTTAGGAATTAGGCATCCCTAACAATTGTAGTCTATGACGTCTGTTTCATCCTATTCGGGACTCGTCAGCTGGATATACCTTCACCCCTAGTATAGCAACGGGAAATTACAAGTATCAATAAACAACAACAACCAATATCCGTCGCACGAATTGCGACTCTTGTGCCCTGATGGGCTAGTGGATAACTCTTTGGCGCTTGTAGCAAAGATTACAGGATTTAAGTCTCAGTGGCAACAGGATCACTCACTGGGGTGCAGGTAAATCCAGCTGATGAGCCACAAGTGGGGCGAAACGCGCTTCCTGTTCACTGTACTCCTCCGTCCTTCTCGTGGTTTATTTTAGTACCTCTTTTCTTCGTCGTTATGATTTCGAATCTCGGCATTGAGATAATGAACTGCAGTCTGTTTCTACAGAAAATCTATCTGGCATTTTAGTTTTACATTTATCTCGTGTAAGTTATTTCATATTGAGTGACTTTTAGTGTGTTCACCCTTCGACTGGACAAGGTTGTTGTTGTGAATTCAAGAAAGCAATGTCTTTTTGGATATATCTGGTCAACTGATTTCAGCTAAAGGGAACAATCAAATTGATCTTATCCATATAATACATAGACCTAGTTAAGTCTGCAAATTGCATGAAGCCTGCTTTGTTGTTGCTCTGTTGTTATAGCTATTTCGTCTGATCTTCATTCTTTCGTGTCTTCACGAAACTATAGTGCTTAACCATTATTGCCTTCATACCATTGACTGTCTATCGTAGAACTACCACATGAGGAATGTCAAGGTTAGGCAGAGTGGTTTATCTCATTTTGTTATTTTTGTCAACCCTTTACCGTCTCATGTTATAGCTTTCCATGACTTTCATTATGTTATTTGTATTCTCCAGTGTCTCATCTTTCTAACCCTTTTCCGATCTCTCGATATGACCTGTGACAGTCTGCAATGTTATGTCAGGTACCATTTTGTGATACTGACTAACGCTTAACGCTATTTTGTGTGGAATGTTTCTCGATGGCTCATTGTACTAAGGTTTCTTTGCGTTTTAAATAGAGTCAATTGTCGGAATCATGACGCAAAGTAATCGTGCACCTCGAACCTATAAATCCAGTCAACTTAGTATTAAGGCTGATATAACTAAACAGCAATCAAACATCTATCTGTGAAAGTGAATGACAGTTACACCAAATAGTAGAAATTTAAGGTGAAGTTTTGGACAGTATGTGCACTTCTATAGCCTTGTTCTACTATGATGTAAGAGAAAATTGGTTGAATGTTTATTTGAAAGGACAAGAAGAATTGTCTCGGATACCACAGCTGACTAAGAGTCACTGATCTATATCCTAAGGATTTCATTAAGAAGGATATAATGAGAATAATGGACAAGCTCGTCATCTCCACCTGTGGCAAGGTATTCATCAATATTCATTTTAATGGTGATTATCTAGTCGACATTACCACAAAAGAGATTTGCTGTAACTACTTTGACATTGAATTTCAGAAGCAGATATACCTTATTACTATATCTGAAAGATAGAGTTTTTCATATATCAGTGTTGGTAAAAGTCAAGCATGCCATCTGTATCCGTGTAGAGATTACATCGGTCACTGTCACAGAAGAGTTAATCTGACTTCCCAAGTAAGTGGTAGTCAACACACTTAGCCATTCTACTCTCTATTGTTCAACAAGGCATAGCTGAAGACCAGTCCTGAAGCGACAATTTTCATTTGAGTGGTGAGGAACTCATCTTAAACACTCTCAAACTGCCAGTCAAGGTGTCTAGAAAACTCTGCATCCTGTCTGCATCTTTACTTGACATGACTGTCATACATGTACTCTAGATCTATTGAGAGTTCTGTGACGAAATCGATCCATGTAGAGTCAGATGACAAAAGGGAGACCTCGATAAAACTGATAAAACTGAGTAGGAATGGATAGACTGGACATCCTGGACGAACACCACTCGACCTCCGAAACTTACCTGACAAATTATCATACGCTCCAGCATGGATGTTCGAGTACTGAGGCTTCAACAGTGTCATGTACTTACTTAGCACCTCTTTCACTGAGAGGTATTGCCATAAGACCACTCGATCGGCGGAGTGGACTGCTGCTTTCTGGTCAAGAAATACAGCTATTGTCGAGCGTCGGTAAGTGTGCCTGTGTCTGAGAACCTGGCAGTGAGAATGTCTAGTTGATTCATCCATAAACAGGTCTGCAAGTTGTTTGATTTTCTCGGGTTTGCTGTTCCTGAGCTCCACTTAGACGTCTGATAATTATAGAATCTTAGATATTATTTTTGTTAAGCTGATTTCCCTCTGTTTGTCACTGTAAAACTGCTCTCCTTTCTTGTTGACTGGGGCAGTCTGATTGAGGCCAGTCAGAAGGGGTCATTTCTATTTTCTATCCGCCGGCTAACACTTCAGTCAATCTAACGAGTAATCTACGATCAGCGTCCTTAAGCATTTCTAGTACCAGACCGTTGGATAGTGGTAAGACGAAAAGTAGTTAGTTGTTGTGTAAATTGCTGTGCTGTGATGGGGGTCTGAGGGCAAAGTCGTACTGCTGGTAGCTGGATGGGGTGTGACAGCAGTAAAATGTTTCCCTTGGATGAGCAGCAGTGCCGCGCTGGATGGATCAGGAAACG